CAAACAAAGCATTACCTGAAGCTCCTGACATGATTTTTCTTCCCCAGATTTATACATAGTGCAACAAAAACAGTGACATGAACACTTGATTGAGTAGAGATTGAAATCTATATTAGGGGGTGAGACTAGTCAAGAAACCAACAAAATGAGCTGGATGCCTACAAGTTTCAAAGGAGGGATCTCATACACATATTCCTCTCCCTCCTCCAAGTCTTATTTTGTAGTATTGCATTGCATTAAAAAAAAAAATCCCCAACCAAAAATACTGAGAAAGGTGTTTATTTGCTGGGTAGACAATCCAGCTGTTTTGATGTGAAACAGCTCCTTTTTAAAATAAAAATATTTAAGCTCACATTTTGCATCTTACTGTTAGAAAAGATTTTACAGCATCATACTTCTACTTTTCCTAGTAATAATCTCAATGGTCAGGTCAATATTATAAACTCGCTGATACTGTCCTGTCACACACAAGTAATAAAACATAGTAATGAAATAAATTCCTCTCTGCAAATGAGTTATCACAAGCCTTGCTCTCTTTAGATTTAAGAACAATTTTTTTTAGCTTTATATTGCTACTTACTCACATTTAGCAAGGACATCTATTCATTTAAGTCTCCCACTCTCCCCACAACACAAAAGCAAGAAGTTTTACTAAACCAAGCCCACCAATTCCAGACATTTTTCCCCCAGGGACAGGATGAGTGAGAACAAACAGGATGTGTCAGATCTCAGTCACACTATGCCAGTGCAGTGCTAGATAATCACTGAGGGCAAACTACAGAGGCTAGAGAAAGTAAACCACAAAAATCTCAAGTTACTGTAGCTGTGTCACCAAAATAATGCTGACCCAGTTATACCAGGAGAAATGTGCTTTTACTAGTGCTGTTTATTCCAGTTGTGATACAAGAAAAAGGCAGTCTGTGAAAGCATAACCTTGACAGGAAAAGTTTCTCCTGCACTACAAGGGTTTTCCCAGGATAACACATTGCCATTCTTATACTACAGACTAGGCAGCACCTTTAGCCCAGGGCCACATGACTCCAAGAGTTCTTAACACATAAAAAAATTTAAAAGCCTAAGAAAGAAAGTAATACTATAACGTAAGAAGTTGGTTTTTTTTAAATTACAAAAAGTCCAAGCATCTAATATACCAAATAGCAGAGAAACTGGTATATTTACAATGGTATTCCTGCATTTTGAAGCCATGATTAACATTCAGACATCCACTATCTAAGCACATTCTGACAACACTAAACCCTACTGACACCATCTCACTCTACATAATTTTCACACATTTTTTCCACTTGCCAGTCCCTCCTGAATCACAGAGCACCACACAACAGTACGGTCAGCAAAGAGCTGAGCATCAGTCAACCTCCAGAAGAGAACTTCACGCTGCAGGACAGCATCTTCTCATAAATCTGACATACAGGAAGCTGAACCTGGGCCCTCCTCAACAAAGATAAGCTCTAATAACTCAGTCTAGTGTGCCATGAGGTTCAACTTACCTATGGGGGTCTACAAATAATGCACAAAGGGTAACCTGTACCGCAGACAGACTGGTGGACAGTATCAAAGACAGAAGCCAACAAGTTTGGTGCCAAATGTCAAGAGACAGAGACATTGTTCTGACTGTTTTTCCTTGCAGCTGCTAGCACCAGCCATCATCAACTTCCACACTGTTATTTTAGCTCCCACTTTATCAGACACCACACACTTCAATGAGAGTTTCTGCAAAAAGTCATGTATTCCTGATGATGTCAGAGCAAACAGAATGAAAACTGAGCTGAAAATAATAAAAATCACAACCTGTACATGGAATTTTACACTGCAAGGCAGAAGCAGTGAAGAAGGTGAACTTTTGTTGGTTCATGCACTTAAAGTGTAATCTTTAATGTAGCCTATACTGTGAGGTTAAGCTGCACTTACACAAGACTAGAAGGGCTGTATTTTGGATTGTAAAACTGAAAAAAAAAAATTAAAATTACTGTCTCAGCAGCCAGATGAATAAGAACCTAAAAAAAAAACCAAACCAACCCCTAAGCAACCAACATGGTAACAAACCACTGCTGTGCTGAACTGAGAACTACAAACTACAACAGTCACTCTTCCAGTATGCCCTAAAACAAGATTATCTCTTTCCCAGGAGTCTCCCTTATGCTCTGAACAGAGACAAATGACTTTGCAACTACCAGAAATCTTTACAGATTCCAGCCTCCTTTCTCCAGAGTTATATTTGATCATTTAAAAAAACCACCAACACAAATGTGTAATAAACAGTCTACTTCACATCTAAGGTGATCCTACAACAGATTGTATAAACTAGGATTGCTAATTACTCTTTTTTTTTGCTCTGGCCTACAAATGTATATTCAGACACGTATTAGTATCTTATGAAGATATTTTTATAATCTGAAGATTGATCTCATATGGTACAAATCTTCCTGAACAGTTGGCATGGTTTATACATATTGCATGATCACTGCAGTGAGTAGTGCCAGTCAAAAACATGAAATGCTCCTTCTTCAGTCTTCAATTTACACTCACGTCAGGAATAAAGGAATTTATTACTTTACCATATCAAGTGTCACTTTTGTTTAATGCAACATGCAACAGATTAATGAAAAAGTTGGGATTTTAAAAAGGACAACTATAACCTGAAAATAAGGCCCTGTGGGTTTTTTTACAGTAACTAAAGACCTCAGGAGTGTAGAAGCAATACTCATAGCTTCACATGTTTTTAAAATCATGAAGCTTTTACATAGCTTCATCACGTTTTTAAAATCATTTAGTATAAAAAAAAGACTCAATTTTGCATGACAGGTGTCTATAAATAGCACATGAATGTTAAGACAGCTGGTAGAAATAGTGACTTTCTTCTAAAAGTTTTAATGGCAATAATGAGTGTGGAACTGTCAAATTAATTTTAGGTCAGAGGTTTCAATTGCAAATCTAAAGATTTTGTTGTCACACTTAGTAGATCTGTTACTACCAAAAGACTAGCAGTTACAATGAAGAACCACACAGTGGGACAATGCTTTTTAATATAGTTTTCTTCAGAGAGTTACTTGTGCCATTACAACACCCCTTTCAGAAGTGGCTTTTCTTAACTGTTTTCTGTTTCTTTCTCTCTCAAGTGAGTGCAGGAATGGAGACTACATGAGGAGCTCCATACATGTTGCCTCTTTTCAATACTAATATTTCTAAGAAAAATACTGCCCACAACTATACCAGACAGGGTGTATCTCCACTGCAGCTACACGAGGCAATGGTTAACTTGGCTCAAGTGCTGCTGCTGCAGGTAGAAATGTGAGAAAGCTTCTTCAGTGCCTGCTACTGTCCCAAACTGCAGCCCCTGCTTCTGTGCCTATCTGTGTTTACCTAAAAGTTTACCACATACTTTTTCTTGTGTTGAAAAATTGTTCTTTTCTTCCCAGAAAATGCAAGTTACTAAGTAAAGCATACTGGGTTTAAGTATGGATTATAAACCCAGATAAACTGCAGTAAAATAGCAGAAGCTGAAGATACTTGCTAGCCATAGTAAGGGATCTGGCTTTAAAAAAAGTTTGCCTTACACTACACAAGAAAGACCCTCCGAACCAAAGTCACATTGAACCACAAAGAACCAATCATAGAAAAAGCAAGTATTTTAACTTGAATAAAAATTATATTCAAGAACAGTTACAATGTAAAATTTTCTCACCTCTGTGCATTATTTTATGCTTTTCTCTCAGATATGTGAGTCCTTTTATTACCTAAAGATAAAGAAGAAAAATAATTTACGAAAAAAAATGAGATGTATGCTTTGTCTGTACAAAAGTTCCAACTGAATGTACAGTCCCAAAATGTAATCACTCCAAATCAGTATTTTGTTTTAATGTGTATCTCCAGCTCAGACTAGAAAAATGGAGTCAACCAAATCCTTACTGGATGTTTGGCATACAGAGCTTGTTGCACATGAGATATGGAAAGGTAACATTAAAAGTTTTTTAATGAAATGTTAATTCTGTTCTTATCCAGAAGCACCAGTTGATACAAAAGCAGAAAATCAAAGCAAACACAATAGACTGTGTTACTCATTCCAGTGCCCTGAGCTACCAAACAATGACATTGAACAAAGACTGGTTTTTAAAATAAAGCAACACATTTAAAAATCTGGTAATATTTCTGCCTCCCACAACCTTCAGTTGTGAAGTGGTGGCTTCCTGGATCTGGCATTACCACACTGAGACACAAACGTGCCCACTCCCAGCCTTTGAGAGCGACGGACACACTTACCGCAATGCTAACTTTGCCCAGGATCTGCTCTGGAATTCTTCCAGCCTTTTTCAGTACTTGATCCAAGGAGCCACCATCCTAATAATAAATGTTTGAATAGTCAAGCTTTAATCAAATTACTCTAAAACATTTTCAACAGGACCGTAGTCTGAAGGATAAATTTAGTGAGGAAAAAAGTGTTGCTTTTCATGTTTGATTTAACATCATTATGGTGCATATCTGAAGAAAAATAAATCACTTCTCAGTAGGAATCAGTCAGTTTTATGTTTATTTTAAACAAACATTTGGCCAGTAACAACATCCACTCAAATAAACTCTTCACACAATGATCTTCCATCCTAGCATTTCCATGGTTTGGCTCTTGTTAAGGAAACACTGTCCATAAATAGCTGTCAACCAAGCAGTAGGAATTTTCCAGATTTCTGTAACTTTCAGTCCAATGCAATAGCATGCTTTTTTTTTTTTTTCTCTTGTCACAACCATCCCATGATACTCTCTCCTCCTCCACAGACTGAGTGAGGAGGATTGAAGCAGCATAGAAGATTTTTATGATCCTGATTACGGGGATGAAAATTCATCACGCTAAAAGAGACAAGAGTTCTCTTCCTGAATATGATGTGTGCTAGTGGCACCCCATGATCATAATTAAACCCAGATCCCTGTTCCCCTCATCTCCCAGATGAGATCCTACAAGAGAAAGTTCCCCTCTGTTAGCTCTGCATATCTGGGGTGACTCTGTCAGCTTACAAGGATGGAGGGTTGATTTGGCACAGCTCTCCAAGAGCCAAAATAGGAAGAAATGTTTTAACGTTTCATGGTAACTAACAGTCCTGCTAATCTTATTAGGTTAAATAAACTGAATGCATGCACATACACCCCCAGCAAAGTCAAATATATTCCACTGTTGCTAAGAGCTTCTGAGAAGGAAAACTGTAAAAAAAAAAAAAAAAGAAAAAAAAACCCTACTTATTTTTAGCAACTGATGCAACAGTAGGCTTGTGTGTTAAGTTCTAGATTCTCTAGAATAGAGAATATACAATCAAAGAAGAAATTAGAAAGTTATGTCTCAAATTAAAAAAAAAAAAAAAATCCTGTTGTCCAGATCAGCATTTGCCATCTCCCAATACTGAAAACAAAAATCCAAGTTGAGAAAGTAATTGCCTTCTGCCTTAAACTCTCTTGAAGTTTTCATCACCATTTATCCATGTAAAGAGAAAAGCTAGAATGCAAAGTTGTATTATTTGAAGACTGAAATCTAAAACTCTTAGGAGAAGTATATAAATACTTACTTGATCATGTATTTTTGTAAAAAAAAACCACACCCACACACACCACACTTGATTAAAAATATACCAACAGAAAAAAGCCTATATAAATCTCTTGTATAACCAGTCTGATTTCTGGACAGCTGCCTCTGCTGAGACGCTGCTATATAACACAGATTTCATACAGAAAAAAAAAAACCATTCCCCTCCCTGAGGACTGACTCCAATCCTGGAAGAGGCTGAACACAATTCAGTTGTCCAGTGTTGGCTGCAACTTTCAGTGTCTTCCAGGAGCAGACTCCAATCCTTTTGCCTGTTAAATACCTGCTGCTAAGCAAAATGATGCTGTGACTTTGAATTTATGTACCTAAAAATATCAAACACTCAAATCTTCAAGTTCCATGCCTTTTCCACCTCCAACTTCTTGTTCGTATTCATACTTATGTTTTGTAACTCACTGCTAAAAATAAGAATTTTGACTGGCAGTGAGTGAAAGATACAGGCAAAAAAAACCAATGGGGATTCTCATCTCATCTTTTATCCAAAAGGAGACCAAAAATTTCCACCTAAAGATCCTCATTAAGCCAACAGCTTAATGGCTTAATTAAGACTACAATTTAAATAATCTACTTTCTCTATTTCTGATCTTATTGATCCATTGCCCTATACGTAAAAATCTTTTATCCAGTCTGACTTAGACCACATTCAGCCCTGAAACACCAAATTTCCTATTGCCTTCTCTCAGACTGAAGAGATGTCTCCTGTCAGAGCTGTCATTCCCTCCTTAGGAACTCACAAACCCTGATCACTCTTGTTAATTGTCAGTGACAAATAAATTGAGATTCTTTAGGCCTTTTATTTCTATATACAATTATATACCAACATCATCTCTCTTTTGGCTCACATTAACATACGTGCTCTTTAAGCAACTTGCAGATGTCCACATTTGTGACATTTAATAATGAATTCTGAAACAATACCCAGGTTTTTTTGACATCTATTTTCCTATTTTTCATTATTCTTTTCAATTTTGAGAACCTAACTTCTTTCCCAGTAGTCATTTGTATTTTAGGGTGCACACACCTTCTATTTGGCTAGCGCATGCTTAAAAACTGGATCATGATAACCTGTTCCTAGGCAACCATCGATTTCTTCTAAAAATTTCAGTAAGAGAAGACTAGAGAAGCATTAAAACAATCACACGTACTTTCCAGAAAAAATAAGGCTGCTCTCTAAAGAGACATTTTTTTCAAGGAAAAAATAAAAAGGTCTTCAGATTTATTGTATTTCATATTGTTAAAAACATCCTCTACTAAGCAAGCGAGGAAAAAAAATTTAACTGACCTTTCATTACAGAAAATTTACTTTTATTGTTTGGCTCCATATGGTTAGAGAAAGGCAAACAGATGTCAAGAGGAATGTGTATTTTTCTATTAAAATGAAACATAGTTTAAAGTATTTTTTGTATTAAAAAAGTTGTATGATATCCTTCTGGGCTTGTTCCCTTCCTGTGCACTATTCTTTATGTTTGCATTTTCTGTAAAATTTGAAAAAAGGAGACAAAACATGGATTCATCTAAATAAGAATAAACTCAATTCTTATTATCATAGCTACTAAGAACTACACAGCTGTAGTATCAGTGATCTGGTCCATTCTGCAGAAAAACAACACTAAACCCAAAAGAGAACAAGTGCCTAAGTGGGAGAATTGAGTAAATATTTTTAAACAAAACAAAAAGGACCATGGATAAAGGAGAAGCAGTTGGGAGGCCACAGTTGTACAGCTTGGACTTCTACAGAAGAACAGATACTGGAGAAGGGGATAAAACAGATTGTATCAATCCCAGCCTCAGATTTGCAAAGTCTGAAACACAGCATTTGATTCTTTATTCATGCAGAAAGGCCTTTTGTTAACATAAGTCTTGTAGACACTCAGGTTTTGCATGAATAGTTTGTTAATAACTTGAAGCTAGACAGATTGATATGTACCTACCATATGTTCCATGCAAATGCTGATTTCTCCATCGCTGTAAAAAGCTCCATAGAAGCCCACTATGTACGGAGAGTTGCACTCGTGTAGAACTTGCAGCTCACGAATGATCTGGTTTCGAATAGCTGGCTTGATCTCTAGATGAATTAACTGTAAAATAATCCACTCTTATTATTTCCTTAGTGGCAAAGGAACAGGTTGTTCAGAAGAGGTTTTCAATACCTAGTGGAATAAGGACCTGAGCAGCCTGCTCTGATCCCTTAGCTGACTCTGCTTTGAAAAGGAGGTTGGATTATGTGACCTCCGAAGCCCCTTCCAACCAGAAGGATTCTATGACTTCACTGTAAAATAATCCATCCTTATTTTCTTAGTGGCAAAGGGAAAAAGAAAACACTACAATACAGCATGAGCAAGTTGAAACATCAGCACCCATGAAAAGGTGGGATTTCCATCTCTTCTTTTCACACAATACTTCTCTATCAGAAATTTTCTGTTCAGCACATTTTCTTCACTTACCTGTTTTTTTATGGATAGTTCAGAAAATTAAGCTCTAAATGTTGAAGAAAATCAATAAACAAGTATCTAAAGGAAATGTGTCAAAGACACTGATGCAGAAGCAGCTGCTGAAAAAATATCTCCACAGGTGTTTGTTTGCAAAACCTTAGTGGAAGGAATGAGTTGGACCTCAAATTAAAAACTCCTTAAACTGAATCTAAATCTAAAGGGGAGATTACATAAAGTACTTTGTTCCACTAGACTGTTTCTCTCACACAATAGAAGTGCACTTCTGAGAAAGGGAAGATTAAGAGATATTACAGAAATCAAATTTTACTCAATATATGAAAGAAAATTTTATTTCAGCAAACATCTCATCTGCATCAAATATTAATGATTTGGGGCAAAATTTCCAGTTAAACCCACAGCAGGTAAAAAGAAAAAAAATCAATTAAATTGATTTAGTTCAAGAAAATCTCAGTAATAAGTATATTTCGTAATTCTCACACCTCAGAAGGGGGCATTTTTCTTTGCTTCTCTTCAAACTGTCAGTGTACTGGGCACGGTTTATGTTTAAAATCAGTACACTTATTTATACATACATGTATTTTCCTTTAATTTTGCTGAACATGGTAGAATACTTTTCTTAAAAAAGAAATACCTCAAGTCTTTCAACTTCTCAATTTAAAAAAAAAAATTAAAATAAAAATGAAGTTTTCAGTGGAGTATAAGAATGGGACGTGGGATTTGAACGTGACCTGGGTCTTCAAAGGCTAGGTTGTTTCCCATGAACCACAGCAGCCTGCCTGCCATCTCACCCAAAGGTCTATGTCCCAAGATACTGCCTTGTAACAAGTGCCATCCGTGCAAGGAACTTTGCTCCTGGAAGGAAGAGGCACGAGGTACCCAAATAATCAAGCAGTATCAGAGATGCATTTCCCTTACTGTATTTGGATCCCAGGGATACTGAGACAGTGAAAGCTCCTCACAAACAAAACAAGAATGAAAACACTTCCATTTAAAAAAAAAAAATCTCACTTCTCTTACAAACTAGGTCACAACTGCTACTGGTTGTAAAGCACAAAGCTGAGTCACTGAAAAACACTCTCTCCAGAAGGACAAGTACCTTTTTGCACAGAAGCCACCTGCACCCCATGATAAAACTATAAAACAGGAGATGTCACTGTACTCCAGTGTATTCCCTCATTCTCAGGTTTTTTGAGTTCTCATTTTTTCCAGTATCATCCAGAGGCCCTTTTCTGGTCTGCAGCTGTGAAGGAGGATCTTAGGACAGGTGATATCTTTTCCATTCCTCTAAAATTACAGCCCAGAATACAGAATATTGTCACTTTTCCCTAATTTATATCCCTTTGGTAACTTACTTTAGACTTTCTTCTACTCATTAGCAAGTCTACTCCATTTTCTTTAAAAGATATAGACTCAGTCTATATCAGTATTTGTCAAAGTGGGGAAAAAATATGCAAAAGAGGGAATGAATGCCTAGACTTTCATTACTAACATTAAAAAATTGAGAAGTTTAGGACAAGCAAGTGCAACCCTTCCTACTTTCTGAAACACAGAAGTTTCTGAGAAAGTTGACATTAAACCGTCTCTTTTCATGTGCCAACACAACTTATTTCTTGAAATAAAGTCACTGTATTTCATCAGAGACAACCTCCTTAATAAAAGTCATCCCTAAGTTCCTACTTTTGAGGCACCCACCTTTCTTGCCATTATGAGACCAGAAGGCTTGTGAGACACTTTGAAGACCACACCACCATTTCCTGCTCCCAGCTCACTGATCTTCTCAAAGTCATCATCCTTCAGCTCTCCAACTTTTTGTTTCTGGGTAAGGAAAGCTTCGAGGCGCTTCCGTTGCTGTTCATCCAACTCTAATTCTTCCAGCTTCTTCTGAAGTGCTTCCAAATTTGTCCTGTACAACAGAGAAAGATTATTAAGCTGGTTGAGTTTACCCAGGATTGTTGGAAGAGGAAGAGCGATAGAGCATTGAGATAAAAGATTAAATCCACTACATTTTTGCACCTATATATGTTATCTACAAGGAATCAACTTGTACAATCATTCTTATGAGAAGCACATATCAGAACTCTGATTTAAGGAAACAGGATTTTATTCTAGATAAAACAATGACAAACACAAACAGATGAAACCCAGTTTCCCCATCTTTGAGGTTCTGTCCAAATTCATGCATGATACGTTTCACTGCCTACAGGAGTGGCTTCATGACTCGGCAGTTATGATCAGAGATCTCATGAATCACAACAGATCACTCCACGCTATTTTTGGTTTCACATTTTCAAGCATTGTGTTGTAATTTCCTCCAGAGTTTGTCTAAATGTTTTATCTACTGATTTTCACATAACTATATAACTAATAATCCATTCAGAAGCTTCTTATTTAGGTATCAGTAAAAAGTTATCAAGCACAGCCAAATGTGCATTAAAAACAAGGCCACTGGAAATACAGGAGTGGAGGTTTTTTGTTTGTTTGTTTTAGTTCATCTGTGCAAAAGAAACAACCCAAAGGTTTTCAGCTCACTTTTTCTTTTGTTTAAGTCCACATCTACTAGAAATGTAGATTTAACATCATTAAGCAATACAAAACTTGAAACAGTAGTTAAATTTGGAACTACAGAACAGAAGTACAGTTTCCCAGGAAGGTTCTTTTTTAATAACTTCAGATCCTATGAAAATGTTTCATTCCAATAATATGACAATTTATAAGCTCATTTAAAATTTCCCACTTCCAATTGCAACAATAAGTTGCTGCAAGAGTAAATATTTAACAGCAAGTATCTGTTTTGCTAAGCCAAATATAATGCAATGTTCCCAGGGAATAGAGAGTTGCTAGGATGAAAAACCTGAGGAACAGAATATATTTATTCAGAGCCTAAACCACTTCTCATTAAAAAAATAAATAAAATTAAATTTAACCCATAATCAAGAAAACTATTTCTAGTCATCACTTCATAAAACACCCACTTTCAAAACATGCTGTGCAACGAGAAATCCTCTGAATTCCCAGTAAGGTGCTGGTCAGTTGAGTAGATACAAGGTTGATTCTCCAAGAAGCAATGACAAAAATAAAACACCCACTTTCAAAACATGCTGTACAACGAGAAATCCTCTGAATTCCCAAGTAAGGTGCTGGTCAGTTGAGTAGACACAAGGTTGATTCTCCAAGAAGCAATGACAAATGCCCCAAGACTCAATGGAAAAACAGAATTATAGGATGAAACCCTCAACTCATTCATGAGAGGGCCTGCACTTCTGTCCTATCCTAGCAAAAACCAGGACAACTTCCAGGTAGGATAACAATCTTGGTTTGACTGTATGCAAGGTTTAATCGAGGCAAATCAAAATATTCACAGCTCTTCCTTACTACACAACCACTCTTACAACTTCAAGTGATAACGTTTTCCTACTTCATTTATCAGTTTAAGTATGGTAGACAGGATGCAATTGCTAAGCTAACTTAGGAAGTTATAATGCTTAGAAGAGCTAAACAGAGGAAACAGAATGAGACCTTTGATGGAAAGGGGAGTTCTGTTCTGTTTGTCATTTTGCTGCTTTTAACAGTCCAAGCATAAGATTATCAAGCAACGCTCGTGAGTTGTTTTTTGTTTCACAGAACACTCACCCTGGGCAAATGTAATTTGGCAGTTCTGCTCAAAACCAGAACAGTCTTACACAGTAAATTTTGTTGTGCTTATTCTACTGCAGTTATACTACCATAACTGTCTATTTTAGTATGGAATAATTTCATTCTGGTGCAGACACTTCATTTTCAGGCTATCCTACAAAGAGAAACATACTCTTATTTCTATCCTTGTACCATGCTTTATTATCAGTATAATCACACTGGAATATAACCATACAACAAATATCCTGGAGTATCCAGGATGAGAAATTTCCCTGTGCAGATAAGCATGGCTTATAGGAACATACAAGTTAACATGACTTAAAGACACTGTTTTAAAGATGAACCATTAAGGCACATTTTTGAAATCTAATTTCTAAAATGCCAAACAGAAAGCAGATTCATCACTGGATTATTTTTTTCCCTTCAAATGTGCCCAGTAAAGCAAACAAATCCCAGCCTGAAGTCAAAGCAATACCTGTGTTTTCTAGAACACAGCTGAACTAGCTTTTCTTATACTATGATCACAAGATAAAAATTGAAGCAAAGCCAAGCAGCCCTTTACTTTCCAACAATAAACTCCAGAACGATGAATGCTGGACACAAACTCTGTGTTTTCCCCTAGAAGAGGAGGTGAAGTGCTGTGGTTGGTGACTTGCAAGGCAGGGAACAAGCTGCTTGCTGGCTCAGGCTGTTTGCTCTTGCAGCAGTCTTGAACAGCAATAACCCCTCTACACACACTTGACAGATACAATTAAAAAAATACTGATTTTATGTATGTTAAACATTAGGATTTTTAGGAAGTACAGATCATTTTTTATGCTATAAAACCCTATACAACTAGCAGAAATTAGAAACAGATCTCTGCAGTTTTTAGGGCCACTTATCAAGACAGCATCCTTCAAATAATTCTTAACATTAGAAGCAGAGCAACTTTATAGTTCACATTCAGTCATTAAAAATACAGGTTTTCATGGTGCCTCTTACCTGCTTTTACCCTGTGCCATCAAAATCATGACTGCCTAGAAAATCTGGCCTACAAAACATACTAAATTATGAAGCAGTTTTATTGGATGTGATGTTTGCAGAGACAGATCTATTATTTTGTATCACTGCTTTAAAGAAGTCAGGACCACGTAGACAAGAGCTCAGCATTCACTACCTGGATCTCTCTTTTAAAAGAGCCCAAGACAAGTTAGAGTGTAAAAGAGAATTTGAAGGAATATCTGATAACTTAACAGTAACAGTTTTGCTGAATTAACTTAAACATCTCTGAAAAACAAATACATCAAAATCTTAAACATAATATTTTAATACTGAATGGTGTTTTGATATATATTTTGATATATTTTCAGAGAGGCACAGCAAGCAACACAGACTATAAACTCTGCACACAGACTTAATGCCAAAATGGAACCAAGCTCTCTCCCCCAGAAAGTCTGACTTTAACAGGACAGGTCGGTTTTCTTTGAAAAATCTGGTCCAGTAAGCTGCACCAAGAAATGATCTTTATCTTCATTTACAAGTTTTGAGAAGGAACTCGCTGTCATTTTAGGCATTGCTGAAGAAGGCAGGGTTGCTCATTTGGAAAAACAAAGAAACTAGAGACACAGGAACAGGATGCAGCATGGCTTTTCTTGCTGTTTTGCAGATAACAACTACTTTTTTGTTTTCTCTCAAGCAGAAGAGGTTTTCTGGGTTTGGGGACAACACAGAGATGCTTGAGCACATGACTTGGAGCAGACAAAATGCTAGTGTGATGAAACAAAACACCCAGTCATGCTGATGCTTTTGTAAATTTGCTGGGATAGCATTTATCACATCTATGTTAGTCTAATGTACGTCTGTATAGAGAATTTTTTTTTAATTGCTCGTTTTAATCTCAATAAATCTGGCATTCACATAAAACTCAGGCATTTCCCTGCTTGAAAGTATAAACTATTGTTGAGGTCCTTCCTCAAACGCTAGTCAGAAAATTCCAAAGGCTTTCACAGATGGAAAAGTACTGGTCCCATCAATCTCAGCACATCAGGTTTCTCCATCTAGAATGTGTCCACCAGCAAAATCATCAGAATGTTCTAAGCTCTATAGGTAAAACCTTCCTTACATGCAATGACTTGCAAGACAATTAAGTTCTCGCATCTCACTTGAATTTTTCAGAACCAATTCTCTAATTGTAAATTAAATTACTCGGAAGACTTTTTGCAAAAGATATTAAATGAACAAATGCATTGGCAGAATTACTATTCAGAATTAACATCTCCAGTTGGTTTTACGATAATTGAATGACAGATATCAGAACTGAATTATTTTTTCATTATGGTCCTTTGCTTGAAGCACTAAATACTAAATTTCAAATGTAAACAGGTAATTTTTTTTTTAAAAAGAGTATTTGCGTCATTAAAATTGTTGGTGGTAAACTACTCTCAGTATTTCTAGGAAGCAGAACTTTGATAGTTTCAGTTCTGAACTCCAACTACTGCAGGAACATGAACACTAACTACCCCCTGACCACTAACTATGACTGTTACCTGGACCCTCACCATACAAAAGGACAACAGCCAAGTTGCAGTGCGAAGCACATACAGAAACAGGTGGATAAATAAATCACTGCATATGAAGTTGTACAAATGAAACTAAACCAAACACATGGAAAATACAGAAGAGTCAGTTCATCACGAGGACACCATGAAAACATTAAGGAAGCTGTGGTAGCTAAAAGTAGCAGCATGTTAATATCTGCCTCCTCCAGAAGGAGCACTACTAGTTACTTAATCTTATATAAAACTTTTATTCAGAGACAAAGATTCCTATTAAAATTCATCACCATTACCTGCTGCAGTCTTGGAGTTGTTTTTTCACTGTCAAAGCACTATGCCTTTGCCAGAGTTCCATCAAAGCAGGAAATCATCAAACCACCTCAGTGCTTCACTGTTCCAAGCACTCCTCTAAAGCAACAGGTTATCATTTAATTTATTGCTATCGGTTTTAAAGCCAAGCACATACTAAACATACTGCACTAGG